TAACCCGGTAACCCCATCCAGTCAAAGCCAAAATCTGCCGGAAAAATACATCTGCAGTTCCACTGACAGGGGGAAGAAATATCAGAGGACACCTGATATTTCTGGGGCCTGCATCATACAGCGACCATATTTTACTATCATCATCATCCACGATAATCTGGAGGGAAAGTTGTAAGAAAAAAAATGGAAAACCTTATGGATTTGGTTTTATATTGTTACTTTACACTATAATTTCTCTGACAATTTTAATGCCACTGCCTTGGTTGTGTTACAGGGTACCCTGGGGATCACACCAGACTAGCATGTATAATAAACTGCCTTGGTCTCTTTTTCCCTCTTCAGTGCTAACATATTACACAGAATTGCTTCATACTCTTCCAAAGAGCTTTTTTTTTTTTTTTAAATCAGGTTTTAATTTTCTTTTCCATCCATGATTCTATGAAGCCTATTTTGTTTACCATTAAACAGTAAACTCTGTATATGGCATCTTATTTCTCCCCCATACGTCTGGCTGTGTGTGTGGAGGAGGCCATCTGCAGAGTCATTCTCCAGCACTGTCCAGAGGGGAAAGACTCCAGGCTCTCGGACAAACTAGGGAGAGACGGTACCACTCAGGACATGCTTCTGGAACCTGATCCAGACCACGCCTCTAAGGGGGAGACTTCTGCTAGAGAGGAAGGACTCGGCAGCCATAGGTGTCCCTGTCCTGAAAGAATGTTTCAAACCAGTCAGGGGTTGGGGGGGTGGGCACAGGGAAAAACTGGCTTTCTTGGGAAAAGAGAGTAGGGAGCAGGAAGGTCCTCAGAAACCTTCCTGAACTAGTGGTTCTTAACCCAACAGGGAAAAAAAAAAGAGCATTAAATGAGCTGAGACAAGTCAAGTGCTCAGCGCTGAGTCTGACAGATATTTTGCGTTCAGTGAGTGTTAGATATTAGTATTATTCACTGCATGATCGTTTACTTTTTGTTTTCTTTGGCTGACTTTTTGGTGGGATTTGAAAAAGTACATTAACTGCCTGAACTTTTGCCAATGCAAATCAATATTTATCCTACTTTTACATTACAAAATTCAAGGCCTCCAGGTTCTATTTTCTGAGAGCTCCTAGCTGGCAGTGCTGTGGGCCCATGGTATCACTGCGGATGGCAACACACTGGAATCATGGGCATCACTGGGAGCAGACAAATGGGGCAAGGTAAAGTCCAGAGGACCCTAACAATTCCCTTTTGGACTCCCCCAGGTCACGGGTGATGACGATAATATCTCACACTCACGTTTTTGCCCTTTGTATTTTGCCACTCACAACTTTGCTTTTCATTGTTTTTTGGGGTTTTTTGTTTGTTTTTGCTATGATTGTGGTAAAAATCTCTTAATGGCTTTTGACGGTACACACAGTAAATCCCAATCTTGTAGTAATAACATTCATATGAGATAAGATATTCAGGTCTCTAAAATTTTCTAGGAAATTATTTCAATAATCCATTTGGAATAAGTTTATCACTTCAATGTCCTCAGAGTTCTCTGAATGGCAAATGTCAAAATTCTATTTGATAATTTTGAAGACACAGTATCTCTTTGATAATTTAAAATCTAGCACCACAAAATTTCAAGCAAACTTATCATGACTCCGGCACCAGACCTGACCGCTGGAGAAAGTTACATCAATGAAACTACTTGCTGTAACTACTTCTAAGGACATTTCGTTAAGTTTGGGTTGTTTTGGGTCTGGTGATCAGCTTGCTGAGAAAGTGAGCCCGTCAAGAGGAGCTCACATGAGTTACTTGAGGAGATGGGACAAGGTAGAGGGATCCCCAGAGCCAATTATCTTTTAGCATGGGCAGTGTTTCCCAGGGAACAAGAAGGAAGGGAGGCTCCTTTTGGTAAGCAGTCAAGTACTTCTGGTTTTGAAGCCAGATTAATTTGATTATAATCCAGATCCTACTAGGCTGTGTGACCTTTAACATGTTAACCTCTCTGGACCTCGGTTTTCTCATTTGTGAAATGGGCATCACTACCCACTTTATTAATCCGTTGGAAGAATTAAATAAGGTATCTGGGGACTTCCTACAACACTGCCAGTTACATAGCAGATATTGTGTGTATACTTGGAGAACTGTATCTCAAATTCTATATGGAGAATAGTTCTGTTATTAATTCAAACCTGCATGGTACTTCCACAGATGTCTACTCTGACAAAATGGTAATAACAGAGACATAGAAGATTTTCAGATCATAGTACTCTCATACTTCTGCAAAGGGACCAGCAAAGATTTTGCTCTGTGGCTTAACTAGCTTTTGTCTAGTGTGATCCCCAAACATTTGCAATTAATTAGGGACTCAGAGTCAACAGTCAAACTTCAATACAAGTGCTTAGGGTTTTGGACATCCCAGGCAAATAAGGTTTCCTGAAGATGACTACCATTGCAAACAGAGGACCTATAACGTGACCCAATGTAAATCTTAAATCCGAGGAACAGGAAAAGGCTTTATAACAGAATCTGACTGCACTTACTATGTAGTTGCTGTTACTGCAAGCTTTCCACTAAACAGAGTACACATATTCCTGCTTGCTTGGATACAGAAAAGCAATTATAAAATAATGAGTATAGTTATACCCACTTTTACTCTTGAATGAGTCTCAAAAATTGATTGCACTTGACAAAGAGGTGAACTTTATGCTCTGCAACCCACAGTCACGATACTTGGCAATAACCTTTACTCTCAAACACTACTAAGGCATAACATCTCAGTCACAAACAAAAACAACACAAGATTTTGCAAATAAGAGGTGTAGTAAAACCATACATACCTTTTTAAGGGGAACTGTACTTCTAAACCAGTTATAATCAGGAGAGACTTTAATCTCTCCCATGATTAGCTGAAATGGAGGTTAACCCTGAAATAAAAGCATGTGATGTTTCATGTCAAGAATTCATGTTTACATCAGAACTAAATGTAGAGTCTGGTCTAGCTATACCAACAATACTTTAAACGGTAAAACCAAGGAAATGGACTATTTTACCTCTCAGTATATACTTAAGCTACAGAAAAGTTTGGTGAAATCCTATAGTCATAGAGCAGGAAGGGGCCCTGAGAGATGATGACTCTAACTTCCTTAGTTCCTCCAGATGAAGAATCCAGTCTAGAAAATTTAAATGACTTTCCAGAGATCTCATGGCTATTGCAGAGCTAGGACCAGAGGCAGGGGAGTCTTTTCTGGTACAGACTGCCTGTCCTAGTTCAATGATTGCAAACTCTGTTGACAGTATCTTAGGAATACCTATGTGTTGACAATATCTTAGGAATCTATTTTAACAAAGATACAGAATTATAGGGAACAGTCCACACTAGAGGAAGGGGGTAATGTAAGCCTGCCTCCTGATCACTTCACAAAATGCCATAAATCTAACTCTAGTGGAACATAACTTCAGAACTTCACATTTGTTCTTAATGCAAAATACAGGAAAATTTGCTGTTCACCTTGGTGTGATTCAAAGTCATATAACCTCCTCTGAAAGATCTGTGATAAAATACCAGAATAGGTTTGAAGGCACTGTATCTAGCAACAAAATATGTGTCTTTAGAAAAAATATGTGGTCTTCTGTTGTGAGGTTAGGGACTTCTAGCTTTTATAGCTCTGTGACCTTGGAAAAGTCACTGACCCTCTTTGGGCTTGTTTTCTCATCTATGACTGTTTCACCACTGTATCTCCAAAGCCTAGACCAGTGCTTGGCACAGAGCACGCATTATCCATTGACAAAATGGATGACTATGTCCTAAGAAGACTGGATCAGGCAATCCTAGAGTCCCTTCTGACCCAGCCCTCTAAGAGCTTTGGGCTGGCTCGGCATCTCCAATTGAAAGGCTGCCCCTCTTTGCTCAGGCATCTGTGTTATGTCATAATAGGAACCTGAAATTATAGCTCCCTGTTGCAGATTTTTATTGCCAAATGAGGAACTTCCACCCACTGGTTTGGAAGGATTCAAATACTTGCTGTTCATCCTGTCCTCTACCCCCAGGGCAAGTCTGGATTTCCTAATTTGGTGTGGGATGTGTTCAAGACCATAAGACTTAACTCCTGGGCTGACTCTGAAATGTCATTTTGCGGGGGGGGGGGGTGCGGAGGGAGGGCTTCTTTGGACTGGCCAGGAGCTGGGGACTCTAAACCCAATGAAACTCTTCCTTTTTGGCTCCCCACATCTGCTGTCTTAGAAGTACAGGGAACTCAACAGTCTTTTAACAGTTACCTCTAACCTTGGGGGGTTACTAAACTAAATCCCAAGGAGATGGTAAATGTAGACATCCATTATTAAACTTGATTTACAACCTTGACATTATAATAATGGTCTGTTCTCAAGGCTAGGATGGTAATTTTAGAAAAGTTTGTTAAAATCATAAGTTGTTCTAAAGAGTACCAAGAATATCATTAGCCAGTCTTATGCTGAAATCAGTGTGCACAGACGTAGTTATAATTCATACTGGAATAAAGAAAATCATTCTCTGCATATCCATTTTCTCTTAACAAATATTAACATGTTAAAAAAAATCTAAGCCATTTGAATCTACTCAGTAGGTTTATAAAACAGTTAAGCTCCTTAAAGCCAGACAGTTATCTTCTAGATTTGCCAAACTTGGGATAAATCATTCAGTTTTGGAATCGGCTGCAATGTATAAACCAAACTACCATACAGATCATACAGATCCAGATCACACACAGGCACACACATTCACTGTCATCCACTTCTTCCCACAGCAATAAGTAGAAAAGATGTTCCTTACCACAGTCCTCGGTATTATTCACAACCAACGCAGTTTTATAACATTTTATAACTAATCTCACTGGATGGAAAGATTCCACCCAACTGTGACTAAATTTTTGTAGGGGCAAGTGATTTTAACACTTGTGCTAGTCTAGCAGCACATGAAAGGTAAGATAGACACCAAATGTTGCATCTGACCAACTGACGTCTAAGTAAAAAAAAAAAAAAAAAAAAAAAGCTCACTGTTGCAAAGGGAAAGCAGCTGTGAGTGGTATGAAAAGGAATTTTGTTCTCCTAGCTCTCTTTCATTCACTAAAAGGGTATACTTTTCCAAGTCACAAGAGGAACATTCTGTAGGGGGCAAAAAAAAAAAAAAAGGTTAACCGAGATTGTGACCAAACTGGTCAGTATTAAATAAGAAAGAATGCGGATCATGAGCTCAACACTGATTTGTTCTCTCACAATTCAGTTCTTCACAAAAACAAAAGCACCTGTTCACCGTGAGCTGGTGGGAAAAGGGCTGCAGAGATCAGCCTTCATCTTGCCTAAACAAACCCCTCCTCAGGGAGTGCTTTCGACACCCAGTCCTCTCTGGCCCTTGAGGGTGCTAGACAATAAAATTGCCAATTGTGAGTGTGCACCAAGAATTACATACACTTTTCCTTCAGGGTTTCGACAGAACCTGCCAGTTTACAATCAACGAAATCGTCTTTAAAAATGTTTAAGTCACATAACGAGCTTAACTAGTCAGAGGTTTTTGGATCCTTTACCTCAATCTGTAGTTGATCCACATATGGACAATCTGTGATTATTAATACCAGCAATAAGTAACTATTAGAACCTGAGTTTCTAGGCAATGCAAATAATGGCTTTTTAAATGCAAGTCTCCATAACTCACCACACCAGTAGACAGCTATCCTTTTTTCAGATCTCTTCAGGGGAGATTTATCCCTCTTTTCTTCAGGAACTTATTCCATTATTGTCTAAACCTCATGGGAGGAAAAGCTGCCTACTTGACAGTTCTTCTGTGACACCTCATCTGTGCTGCTGTCTTGGGATAAAAGCTCTTGGAAATTTGCACACAGCTATTAAGTGACTCCTTAGTCTCTTGAGTCTTTCTGCTAACAGGAGCTGGAACATTGTACGAGGAGACAAAGCAGCAGCATAAATGCAAAATTTATAACTCCCCAGGAAAGCCAGAAGGGGAAAAGCAAAACACTGTAGTCCTGCTACTTTCCTCATCCCTCATTCACAAGGCTCACACCTGGCAATGACAAAGACATTTGTCACTTTCAGGCTGAGGTGCAATCTCCAAAATAACTAGCTTCTTTCTGCTCAGAGTTCTTAAAAGTTGAACATATTCCTGGGCTGCAGCAGTGTATCCCCAGGACCAGATTACAGCAGTACGCTCTGGTCCAGCGCCCCCGCCCCCGCCCCCACCCCAGATGATCCAAACACAGACCCCACCCTCTCCCAGTCCCACCGTGAAAACCTCAAAAAGGCAGGGTCACAGGTACACCGACCACCCCATGAACTCAAACTCGACCTCAGACAGACAGACAGACAGACAGACAGACAGACACACACACACACACACACACACACACACACACACACACAGACGTACGATCACGTGCATGGTCACATGGACCAGCCCACTAGGGGCCACACTAACAAAGTCACACCGCCGGAGGCAGCTGCGCACACTACACACACACCCACCTGCAAGCCTGTACACATCACACACCCACACCCCGCTTCCCAGGGCCTCGCCCACCCCTCACCTGCCGTGGCCTCCCCCACTTCCCTTTCCCTTCTCCCCAAGGCGGCTCTTCCCTCCACCAGGGGCGCGGGCCGCGGAGACCGCTGGGCCCGGGTCACCGCCGCCAGCCGGAGCTCTCAGTACCCGCAGGCGCAGCGGGCTGTGGGGGCGAGCTGGAGGGCGGGCCTCCGAGGGGCGGGGCGCGCGGCCGGGCGAGCCTGGGCCGCCGCGCTCCCTCCTCCCGAACTGTCCGCGCAGTGGGCGCGAGCCTCACGCTTCCGGGTTCGGAGGAGGCGGGGCCACGTTATGAGGAAGGGGCGGGGCTGCGTGCCTTCGGCGGTCACCATGACGACAGGACGAGATGGAGACTAAGGTGAGAGACTGCACCCCTCTCAGTACATCCTGCGGGTTGGGAATCGGCGCCCGCCTTGGAGGTGGCGGCGGGCGCAGGGAAGAGGTCCGAGTTGCCGCTGGGTCAGCTCTAGGTCACCTATTCGATCGGGCATCGAGGGAGAGATTATGCGAGTCAGGGGCGCCTGACTCCTTGGGACCTGCCTCTGCCTTAAGTTTGCGCCCTCCTGGAGGAAGCAGGTGCGGACCGTTTTCTCTCCGCCACGTAAAGCTTTGGGGGACCCCTTGGGGCTTTGGTGAACAGCGCTTTGTATACTGTCTTTGCTTGGCAAGATTTTTTTCCTCTTGGCACAACCAAACACGCCCTCCGTAGTCCTCCCCTGTAACACCCCTCGCAGCACTTTCCAGACTTGTGCTGACATTCTGAGGGATTTTTGAGAACAGCTCCCACCAAGCCTCCAGCTCCTGCATCACTTTCCCTTAAGGGAATAGAGAATATTAATATATTTATAAACATTCTTCTTAAGCAAAATGTGGCAGAGTTTACTCAGTTTGCTGAAATGCAGTTTGTTGAAAAAATGTATAAGGTTGGATAACATGTAAATCTTGTTTGAAGTCTTTTTGTGATTCTTTTGTGATCCTGCAACAAGGTCCTGTTGAAAGTGTCTCTCCCTGACCTGTTTTAGGGAAAGCTTATACCCTGTGTAAAGCCTTTGGTTTATGCCCTTATCCTGGCAACTGTTTATGGGATTAAGATCAGGGGAAAATCTGAGTAAATTGCATCCTTAGTCATGACCTCTGCCTTCCTGCTCACCAACCTTGGGTCCCAGTCTAGAACTTCAGCAAATCCCAGACACATTCCCCAAGAGCACAATCACAGTTTAGCCGCCTGCTCCCCACCCCATCACTTCTTTGAGAATGTTCAATCAGTCAGAGGAAGTGGTCTTTTATTATAAGTACCAGGTTATAGGTACGGTGGATAGGGCATGTTTCTACAGAAGATTTTTAACCTGCAGCTCTTTCCTCAAAACTTTGGAATAGTTCAATGAATGGAATAACTGCCAAATCACTGGTTGTATGTAAAGACCATTATGGATACTCATTATTTATGTCTCCCCAGGTGGGCTGTGAACTTTAATTTAGGGCAAAGGGAACAGAGTAATCAACCAGTGTCTTAGTACATGATTTGGCTCATAGTAGGTACTAAATGTATATTATTAATGAGAGAATAAATAAATCTATCCACATGTATACCTAACAGTGGATTCCTTATTTCCCACACCTCCAGACCTCGCTTTAGGAACAGCCCTAATGAGATTTAAGCTATGGATATGCCTAAATATGTATATTGTTAGTTTGGTAGTAACTTGACTGTTGATTTCATTATGTAGATTTTTTTGTTCCATGTGAACTTTTATTACAATGTAAAAGATCAAACCCAAAGTAATGAAGGTTTTCTTTTCCTGAGAAAAGGACCCCGTGGTCATGTTTGGATCTTCAGTTGTCCTATAACACATGGCGGGCGCATTATCCATTCCCTAATGTGAACAAAGAACATTTAATCTCTGTGAATTCCAGCTGTCCTGTAATTGCACAACTGCAGGGAGCAAACTTTTGACCCAGGGCAGGCAATGGTGGAGAGGCAGACATGGTGGATATGGCTGTGAGGGTTTGCAGCTGTCATGGTTGGGGTCTTCCAGATGGTTCCCACAGCACCAATCCCTGTGTGAGAATCTCACTTAAAAGCTGGAATGTTCACAAAATACTCTGTGAACACCAGGCAAAGTAAACAGATGGCCAGCTGGTTCTCAGAATTGCCCAAACCCAAGCTCTAGCCTTAAAATTGATCTTTCAATAGGATATTTGTTTTAAAACACACGTGCAAGGGGTGCCTGGGTGGCTCAGTTGGTTAGGCGACTGCCTTCGGCTCAGGTCATGATCCGGGTGTCCTGGGATCGAGTCCCGCATCGGGCTCCCTGCTCAGCGGGGAGACTTCTCTCTCTGACTCTCTCCCCTGTCATGCTGTTTCTCTCTCTCTCTCTCTCAAATAAATAAATAAAATCTTAAAAAAAATACACGTGCAAAATAATCCTAGATATATCTCTTATGCGTGTGTGTACGTACACCAAATGGAATAGCGGTTACCTCTGAGGAGAAACTGGAGGTTGGAGGGCAGTGAAGAACTCTGGCTTTAGATTTAGTATTTGAATTTATATAAGAATGTATTCATATATTATTGTATGATTTAAAAATAATTAGAAGCAACTATATTCATGCTCTAAACACTGCTCCTTCTTTAATAGCTCCCTACTGGGGGCGCCTCGGTGGCTCAGTCTGTTAAGCATCTGCCTTTGGCTCAGGTCATGATACCAGAGTCCTGGGATGAAGCCTCCCATCACTGGGCTCTCTGCTCAGCGGGAGCCTGCTTCTCCCTCTCCCTCTGCCTGCCTCTCCCTCTGCTCTGCTTGTGTTCTCTCTCTCTCTCTGTCAGATGGATAGATGAAATCTTAAACAAACAAACAAAAATAGCTCCCTACTGCCTACAAGCTAAAGTCCCAGGTCCACAGGCAAGAGCAGATCTGGCTCTCTCAAAGGGCGCCCAATACCCTATGAGGTCTCAAACCTCTAAGTGTTTATATATATACTCTTCCCTCCACTTAGAATGCCTCTTCCACCTGACCCACCAGAGTGAATTACCTCTATTTTACCCCCAGAAACCATCGATGTGTGAAAAAGTGAAAGAGAAATGAAACATTTAGTTTTTCACAGTAATATCAGTTCTTGGAATACCATCCTTTAAAGCTGCCCAGGATACATTTGACTACAGCGTTATATATCAAATTATGCTGAGACCCAAGACTCAAAATGAAGGCTGTTTCCTTACTGCCAGACCCAGTCTGTGTCACATACATGCCACACTGGATTATAGTGATCAGACACAGAGTGGGGATTCTGGAACTGCCCAAGAAAGATGCTGACATGTGTATTCTGTAGCTTACTACCTATCAAACAAAGGTCCTATCAAACAAGTTATATACAGTCATTTATTTTTTAGAACTTGTTCTGTTTTGTTTTTTGTTTTTTTTTTAAAGATTTTTTTATTTTTATTTTTATTTATTTGAGACAGAGAGAATGAGAGACAGAGAGCATGAGAGGGAGGAGGGTCAGAGGGAGAAGCAGACTCCTTGCCGAGCAGGGAGCCTGATGCGGGACTCAATCCAGGGACTCCAGGATCATGACCTGAGCCGAAGGCAGTCGCTTAACCAACTGAGCCACCCAGGTGCCCCGAACTTGTTCTGTTTTTTAAGATTTTTATTTATTTATTTGAGAGAGAGCTTGAGCAGGAAGGGAGAGGGGCAGAGGGCAAGGGAGAAGCAGACTCCCTGCTGAGCAGGGCCCCAGACATGGGTCTTAATCCCAGGACCCTGGGATCATGACCTGAGCTGAAGGCAGACACTTAACCAACTGAGCCACCCAGGCGCCCCCCCAATCAAACTTTAAAAGCAGCCTGCACCAAAAATGCCTCTCTATGGAAACAATATTTTACCTTCTTAGTTAATGTTTATCCATTGTTAACTTTTTTTTTTTAAAGATTTTATTTATTTATTTGAGAGAGAGAGTGAGAGAGAGAGCACAAGAGGGAGGAGCGGGAGAGGGAGAAGCAGACTCCCTGCTGAGCAGGTAGCCCGATGCGGGACTCGATCCCTGGACTCCAGGATCATGACCTGAGCCGAAGGCAGTCGCTTAACCAACTGAGCCACCCAGGCGCCCCATTGTTAACTTTTTAATATAAAAGTTCCTAAGCAAAGGTAACACATCTTCTTTTATCATCTGACAACGTAGCATCTCATTAATGTTTCTTCTGTAAGTAACAATGTGATAATCTATCTTCTGGAAGAAAAATTACAATAAAGAATCCTGGAAAACAAGAACAGTACTATTATACTACAAAATAAAGCAGCTGTTCTCTGTAGGGTTCTAGAAAACTTTATGAATTCTTAGAGCTAATAAAGACCACAATTAAATAGTAACTGAGAAAATCTTTTTGAAAGAAATTGTGTAGCATAGTGCCTGCATATTAAAAGGCACTCAATTAGCATGGGCTCCCACTTCTTTGTCTCTGAGCACCAAAGCCTGATCAGGGATAAAAACATTTGCAAATAGAGGCAGGGTAGGAAAGTGGTTAGGCCCACAGACTGGTGTCAGACCAGTGGAGTGTGAACTCCATATCTACCACTTAGTAGCTATTTAATGTTCTGGGGAAATGAGGATGGAGAACAATATCTGCCTCACAAGGTTATTTGTAATGATAAAATGAGATAGTTCAGGTCAAGTCCTTGGAAATGTGGCTAGCACTCAGTAAATGTTTAGCTAATAACAATGCTTTTGAGAACCTACTGTGTTCCAGGCACTGTGCTAGATGCATTACATATATATATTCCTCATGACATCCCTTGCCAAGTATGTACAATTTTCATTTCATAGATAAGGAAATGGATTTAGAGAGGGTGAGTAAGCAGCTTAGACTTAGAGTCAGTGGCAGGGCCAGGGCTCATGCCATGATTGTTGAAATAAGTGTCCACCTTTCAAAATCTTCTATCTTCACTTTGAAATTGTTTGATGAATATTAAGAAAAGTGGTGAAAAGTTTGTACTGTCTTAAATACAAAGTATAAAACAATAAACACCTTTCGGCAGCCATTCTCAAGAGCTCGATTTAATGCTCAGGCAAACTTTTGTCACCCAAACCAAACCACGAGTAAAATTCTTTTTTTTTAACAGAATTTACTGTGGTCTTGAGGTTCTAATCCTAGTATTGTCACTAGCTAGCTTTTGCTAAGTCCCTGTTTCATCATCTCTTAAATGAAATTTTGAGTTACTAAAATCATAGAACCTTTCCTACTCTAAAATTCTTTCCTTCCTGTTGGTCTAAAGGCATCTCAGCAAGCTCTTGCTGCCATCCAGAGGAGAAAATATTGTTGCAGGCTCAAAGAAGGCATTTTAGCAGTATTAGACTGTGCTGACAATAATGTCTAGAACTTACTGAGTATCTACTATGTGCCAGGTAGCTCCTTGGGCATATTCTATGTGTATTTCTATTCTGCAAGGTAGGTATTACCCATGTCTTAAATTGAGAAATAATTAAAGAATTTAAGTAACTTGTCATAGGGCACCCAACTTTTAATAAGTAACTGAATTCCATTTTGAGTCTGATTTTTTTCTGCAATGACAGGAACCAAAATAGAAGCATCTTGCATAAGGAGGCAATGTTTTTGCAAATCCATCCTTTCAGCCAGAGCACAGAATAGGCTGTGTTCCTGGGAGGACCCTGGACCTAGGGGTCAGCACGTAGTTCCATGTGCACCTCTTAAGCTAGTTAAAGCTGTTATTGCTCTAGCATAAAAATTACTTGTTGAGTGTGATAAAATGCAGAGTCCCATGTCGAGAGACTCTGATTCAAGAATTGGAGTTGGGCTCAGGAATCTACATTTTGGGGCGCCTGAGTGGCTCAGCCAGTTAAACATCTGACTCTTGATCTCAGCTCACGTCATGATCTCAGGGTTGTGAGTTCAAGCCCAGTGTTGGGCTCCATGCTGGGGTGGAGCCTACTTAAAAAAAAAAAAAAAAGGAATCTACACTTTATGTATGTATGTATGTAATCTACATTTTATTTATTTATTTATTTTTCAGGAATAATGTTAGAGTAATAAAGTTTGTTTTTTTTTTTAAATTTTATTATGTTATGTTAGTCACCATACAATACATCATTGGTTTTTGATGTGGTGATCCACGATCCATTGTTTTCGTATAACACCCAGTGCTCCATGCAGTACTGTGCCCTCCTTAATACCCATCACCGGGCTAACCAATCTCCCCTCCCCCCTCCCCTTTAAAACCCTGTTTGTTTCTCAGAGTCCATAGTCTCTCCTGGTTCATTGTAATCTACATTTTAAACAGGTATTCCAGGTGCCTCTGGCTTAGCTGAGAAACAATGCTCAATCATACTGGATTGTGGTTTCCATAGGGGGCCTGAAGCTGGAAATATGGTTTCCTGAGGCCTAGCGAGGATGTGCACCATTTACCTTTTCAAAATGGGCTGCCAACTGCAGATGGCATTTCTAAACCTGGTGTTTCCCTCCAGGCCCAAGATGGGCTTGAGGCTCTCTGGATGGGAAACTGCCCTCTCTGAGATGGGTCTTACACTCTTGCCTCACGATTTCATGGATATAAAAGGTATTTCATAGTATACCAACCATGCCAATCATGATATCCAGCTTCCCTTTCCAGCTCACACAGCCTCACCCACAGCCCCTTACTCGGCATTAGGTAGTGTTTTTTGTGCAGGTAAAATCATGGGGACCGGACTGGGTCTTGACTCACAGTCTGGCCAAGGGCTAGAGGGGGTCTGGCATCAAAGATTCTGCCCAGCAAAGGCCAATGGTAATCAAGTGAAACAAGACAGGCTCTGCCCAGAATGTGGGGTGGTAGACCCGAGACCGTTCACCACTAGGTAGTAAGAGATCAGAAGGGATCAGCAGAAAGCTGTGCCCTCAGTGAGGTTCTCCACTCCCCGTGGCGGTGTCTGAATGGGCATTTCCTTAGGTCCCCTGCAAACATCGCTCCTGCACACGCAAGCTCCTAGATGGCACTGATTCGCATTCCCTCTGAATTCCATAACATGACCTTAGCCCCTGAAGGGGGAAGTAAGCGCCCTGTGCATATTAACTGAAAAACAATAGCAAAAAGGCACTTTCACACAGTCACTGATTCTCAAAACTATTTGGGGAGTGTTTTGGTTTTTTTTAATCTTCAGCCCCATTTCACATATGAGGAAACTAAAGTTCAGTGAGGTTAAGTGACTTGTTAGAGACCAAAGAGCTCATCAGTGGTGGAGCCAAAACTCTCCATCAGAATATAATACCTGAACGATAACCCACATTCTCACTTCTGTAGCAAACATCTTGTAAATTCTTTTCCCCTCCCCATAACTGCGGCTATAGTTCAGATCCTCAGATTCCTAACTTCCCACCAGATCTTCCCGCCACAATTTTTACCACTTTACCTTCCACCCCACTACCAAAGTTACCTCTCCAAAATGCCAGTCTGGTTGTCACTTCCCTGATTATTGCATGGAAGACAAAGACCCAAAGTCTCATGGTTTTCCAAGTCCTCGGTGACGTGGCCCTCCTGTCTTGCTCTTCCAGTCTTGTCTCCATCCACCCTATTCCATACATGTCACTTCTTCCATTTGCTCCCAAACACTGCTCTTTTTCCCCGTGTTTAACATACTGTTTGCTGCTCTTCCATGATCCACTGTTAGCTTTTTCCCAGCCAGGAGCATATATATCTGTAGGCATGTAAATAGCTCATACGTTGAAGAGAAAGCATAGCAAATTTGTGGATTAAAGAATGATACTAAAAGGCTATCATGCTCCCACCATCCAGTTAAGAAACCCATTTCCATAACCCCCTATGAGATAGCGTTCTTTTATGCCTCTAGGCCTGTGTACACGCTAGAATGCTTTAGTCTGCATGGTGAACTCATCATCATTTGGAACCTCAGATTCAGCTTTACCTCCTATAGAAAGCCTCCACTGAATCCCTTAAGTGAGACTGAATGCTTCCATTATGCCTCCATTATGGCATTCATAACAGTATTATATTTGCTTACATGTTTGCCTCCCCAGTAAATTGAAGATACCAAATATTATTTAATCTGTGAATCTCCAGCAAGCAGCGTAAAGGCTGGTAGCACAGCAAGTGTTCAGTAAATAGGATGGATGTCTATACAACCTGGTTTGCCTGAGAGTCCTGTTTGTTTTTTTTAAGATTTTATTTATTTATTTGACAGAGAGAAACACAGCGAGAGAGGAACACAAGCAGGGGGAGTAGAAGAGAAGCAGGCTGCCTGCAGAGCAGGGAGCCCCATGTGGGGCTCGATCCCAGGACCCTGGGATCATAACCTGAGCCGAAGGCAGACGCGTAACGACTGAGCCACCCAGATGCCCCAGAGAGTCCTGGTTTATGCCTGTTGTGCAGGAGTAATTATTGTAAGTGCTTCCTTTACTCATGAATGTGCCTAATTTAGATGACCAATTATATGATCACCCTATCAATAAATGTGGAATGGATGAATTAATGAATGGAAAAAGATTTTTACTGATAGAATCTAGGCAGGAAGAGCCGATATGTAAAGATTTTCAAAAATTCCACAGCTGGCCGCTATGCCTTTCCTGCCCCAGAAGTGCTTGACTCTCTCGGAGACAGAGATGAGTTTGCACAGACCAGATGCTCAATAACTTTTATTGCACAATTAAGTTGAAAAATGTTAGCATATCCCTACATTAAGAAGACCTAGATGTAAAATATGAATTTATAGTACAGATTCATGTGACAGATGATTAATATTATGTATGTTTTACTACTTTATGAGAACTAGATGGTAGATAAATTTAAAGAGCTGACTTTACTGCTTATTAAAAATCAGAAATGTAGATTAAATACTGCTGAAATGATAGCATAGTCAATGGGAACATATGATCTAAAAAATTTCATAGATGCACTTTTTTAAAGGAGCCTCTATTCAGTAGGGGTGTATGTGTGTGTGTGTCCATACACACACTAGTTACTAGTTAGTTGCATTTGCTTTTAGGGAAAGATAAAATCTCCTTGAGTTTCACATTATAAACAAAAAATTTATTTAAAGCTCTTTTTGTTATTCAAATAAAAAAAGCGAGTCTTAACTACTGTGAAAACAAAAAATGGGAAGTGAGGTAATACATCTTTTTGACAATAATCTTCTTTCCTTTCCCTCCAACAGTGTCATCTTCTTTGAAAGTCAAGGTAATGGGGCACCTGGGTGGCTCAGTTGGTTAAGCGACTGCCTTCGGCTCAGGTCATGATCCTGGAGTCCCGGGATCGAGTCCCGCATCGGGCTCCCTGCTC